TCCAGAACACTGACAACCTTAAATATTGGTGAGGATGTGAAGCAGCAGGAATTCTTATTCATTGCTGGCGGGAATACAAAATGGTACAGCTACACTGGAAAACTGTGGTTTCCTACAAAACTAACCATACTCTTATCTTAAGCACTTCTTGGTATTTATCCAAAGGAGTTGAAAACATGTCAACACAAACACCTGCATATAGATATTACAGAAAATTTATTCATAATTGTCAAAACTTGGCAGTAACCAAGATGTCCTTCAGTGGGTGAATGGATAGATAACATCCATACAATAGAAAATTACTCAGTGCCAAAAAGAAATGAGCTATCAAGCCAAAGAAGACATGGAGTCACCTTAAATGCATATTACTAAGTGAAAGAAGCCAATGTGAAAAGGCTACATACCATATGATACATACTGTAGGACATTTTGGAAAAGGCAAAACTATGGAGACAGTAAAAAGATCAGTGGTTGCCAGAGGTTGGAGTGAAGGAGGGACAAATAGGCAGAATACAGAGGATTCTTAGGGTGGTGAAGATGCTCGGCACGATACTATGATGATGGATACATGTCATTTTATGTTTGTTCGAACCTATAGAATGTACAACACAAAGAGTGAACCCTAATGTAGACTATGGATTTTGGGTGATTATGATGTATCAATGTAGGTCCACCAATTGTAACAAAGGTACCACTTTGATGGGGAATATTGGTAATGTAAGAGACTATGCATATGTGGGGGTAGGAGCTAAATAGGGAATCTCTGTACCTTCCTCTCAATTTTGCTGTAAGCCCAAAACTGCTGTAGAAAAAAAAAGGATTAAAAAAAAGAAACTATCCTTGAAAAGTTCCCAGCAATGTCTATTTCTACTTGTGGAACCTTCGAACAGATCTTTTTTTATCTTGGGAAAAATCTTCTGTGTTTCTCTTAATTGTGTGGCATTAAGGCATTTATCTAGGAAAAATATGTCGGGGCACTGTTAGACCTCAGAAAAGCAGTCTGGAGTGGACATCTGTTGCTTTGTCTACCCAGCCACTTTATTTTTTGGGAATTGTGTCACAAATTCTGGAAATTGTTCTGTATATCCATGTGGACGTAAAGGGATTTTTCATGTTTCTCAATGTCCCTGTTAATTATAATTGAACACTTGAACCTAAATGGGCCAATTAATCCCCTTAATGCCTGGAATTTTGATATGGAAAAAGTCTTCAACTCAAGAAATAGCAAGGTCAATTATTCTTGAATAAAAAATTGATTTAATAAAGGTTGATTATGTTTTATGGAACTCCTAATACATTAGAATGTCCTGTGGAGTGTGATCAAGTGCTATTCAATAGTATTGCTAGGCAATACTAGATGTGAAAGTTTGCTAATAGCATATATAGAAGGAAGAGTTTATCTGCAGAGTTGTTAAGAACAGCTGGGATAAATAAGGATGCTGCCAAATCATTTAGTTTCAAGATGAAGTATATCTATTATCATATTAAAGTCTAAATTTGAGGTGATGGATGTGTTAACTAACTTTACTATAATAATCATTTTACAACATATACACGTATTAAATCATCACATTGTATACCTTAAACTTATACAATATGTCAATTACATCTCAATAAAGCTGGAAAAAATGGAATCTAATTTTGATCTTTATATCATTAAGGATTTTTTTTATTTTAAGTGTCAGAAAAGCAAACTCGAAATTTTAAGGAGAAAGGAATTATTTGGTTCATGTAAATAAAGTCTGGGGATATATTTATCTTTACATTCCTCTTAAACAAGAAAGAACTTAGTCTCTCTCTTCTCTTTCTGCCTTCCTCTGTGCCAATTCCATTCTCTGACAGGCTTGTCCTTCATGCTGGCAAGATAGCTACATCTTGATAACTCCAAGTTCAGTGGAAAAGGGGAAGCTGTCCCATGGATATGCATAAAGGCCCTGAGAGTTATTCTCACTCTAAATCAGTTACAAACCCATCACTGAACAGATCACTGGGATCAGAAGGATGATGCACTATACAGGGTGGGCTAGGCTAGGTTATGGCATGTTAACAAAAACCTGAATTCCCGAGGACTGATGACAATCTTTATATCTCACACATGCTGTGTTGCCATCAAAGGCAGGCTGCTTCTTGGTTATCCTTACTCCAGGACTCAGACTGAAAGGCAACCACTTTCTGGCTGCTGTCATAGTAGCAGAAGAAAAAGTTTTGGTAGATCTGCATGAGCAATTAAATGCTTGGTCTCCAAGTGACATTCACCATTCATTAACCAGAGCTAGTCATATGGCCCCCCTCAACCATAGGGGGGACAGGAAGTGCAATCCACTCTGGAAAATGGTATGGAGGTTCCTCAAAAAGTTTAAAATAGATTTACCCTAAGACCCAGCAATTGCACTACTAGGTATTTACCCCAAGCATACAAATGTAGTGATCCAAAGGGGCACCTGCACCCCAATGTTTATAGCAGCAATGTCCACAATAGCCAAACTATGGAAAGAGCCCAGATGTCCATTTACAGATGAATGGATAAAGAAGATGTGATGTGTATACACACACACACACACACACACACACACACACACACACACACAATGGAATATTATGCAGCCATCAAAAAAATGAAATTTTGCCATTTGCAACGACGTGGATGGAACTAGAGGGTATTATGCTAAGCAAAATAAGTCAATCAGAGAAAGACAATTATCATATGACCTCACTGATATGTGGAATTTAAGAAACAAGGCAAAGGATCATAGGGGAAGAAAGGAAAAAATGAAACAAGACGAAATCAGAGAGGGAGACAAATCGTAAGACACTCCTGATCTTACTTAATCTTACCCAAACTGAGGGTTGCTGGAGCGTTGGGGGTGGTGGGGTAATGGAGTGATGGACATTGGGGAGGGTATATGTTGTAATGAGCACTGGGTACTATATAAGACTGATGAATCACAGACCTGTATCTCTGAAACAAATAATACATTATATGTTAATTAACTGAATTAAATTTAAAAAATTTAAAAAGGGGGTGCAATCCTATCATGTGCTCAGGATGGGGAAAAATTGAATTTTTTGGCAAATTGTATTAATGAATGCCAAATGCACTATTTGGCTCAGGTTTTACACCCACCAGGACCTGGGAGGAGGGTCATTTCCACTACAGCTGAGAACCTGCAGATCCCCACAAAAATTTAAGCTATTGGTAGAAAAAAAAGAATTGTCATCAGAAAAAGAAATCAATAATACATTTAATTAAGTAAGTTTCTAGTAAATGATCAAAGTTTTGGATTCAGTTTTAGTATATCTTCCTGTGTTAATAAATTATTAACTTCGAAGGATTACAAAATTTACTCTATTTGCGGTTTTAAAACAAAACCCCAAAACTAAATGCTATTTATTCCCCATCCTCCTTATTTTAAGTTGGTTGATTCCCTGAAGGAATCAGTAGAGTCTAAAGTTTTCAGAGTGGACATTTAAATCTGGCTTAGTTCCTAATTTATGGGTTGTAGGACAGCTCAACCTGTAAACATTAAGGTGGTTTTAAAGCCATAACTAATTTTTTTAAAGATTTTATTTATTTATTTGTGAGAGAGAGAGTTAGAGAGAGCACAAGAGCAGGGTGAGGGGCAGAGGTGAGAAGCAGACTCCCCTCTGAGCAGGGAGCCTAATGCGGGGCTTGATCCCAGAGCTCCAGGATCATGACCTGAGCCGAAGACAAACACTTAACCAACTGAGCCCACGCAGGTGCCCCGCCATAACCAATTCTATTCACAAATAAAGATGTGGGATTCACACTTGGTCTTCATTCTTAGTAGCAAGCTAAAATGGTTCTGAAACCCTTGTGAGTAGTAGCATTATTAGACCATTTTTTTTTCCCCCAAGATGTTCAGTATCAAGGACTTTTCTTCCTTTGTGAGGAACAGATCTCCATTTAAGGGAATTCAGGAAAACAGAAGTTTATTGTAAGACTATTCATTCCATCTCTAGGACTACATGAATTCTTTCATTGTGATTTTTCTCCTTTTCTCTTTTAGCATCTCCTCTATTTTTCCTTTCTTACTAATATCTGTGCTTATTATTTTCATAACCCAGGGCACTGCGGCTGAAGGACAACAGTGACAAATTATAATCTCTGAACCTCTTAGACAAATTCTAAAGAAAAAGGATAAAATTTGTAGGGTGCTGAAAACTGGTCTACTATGAGTCAGTTCAGCTCTGGCTGGTGGAAGATAGCACATGGTACATACAACTGCCCCTTTTGGAGCATTTGTGTGGAGCAGGTTTAAAAGGAAGGAGAACTGTGCAAGAAAGCTAACTGGCTATATCTGTAGGAAGTAGGATGAGAATATTAATGCCATTAATGCTTACTATAATTATAAGTGCTTTACAAATATGAATTCTGCTCTGTGATGTAGATACTGTTATTACTCTCATACTATAAATAAGAAAATGATGATACAGAGATATCAAATACCTTCCCGTGGTTATGCAGTTAATAAGATGCAGATTCACCCAGTATTTCAAAGTAGTCTTGCTCCTGAGTCTGTGGTCTTACCTATCAGCCTCCTCCACTAATCTTGGCTCTTCTGAAGCATCTGGATTCACACCAGCGAGTTTATTAATGTTTTGGGGTTTTCCCTTAACTATTTTGCCAGTAATGAAATGCTTCTCATTCTCCGAAGCTCATCACAAATATTAACATTTTCACTCTGCAAGCTTCCCTGAGCACCTTCCTTCTGCTGCTAAACCATCCTGCACATTCCCTTAATTACCACACTGATCACCTTGTCCTGTATTTGGGTCACACTGTAATACCATGAGCTTCTGCAGAGCAAGGGCTATATATTTCTTATCTTTGTATTCCTGGTGCATGGCATAATTCCTGGCACATGGAATATACTTAATGTATTGTTATTGGATTACTCACTTAATGAAAGAATGAATGCATTAAGTAAGATTTGTGCCACACAAATTTTACCAGTCTCTCTTCTGCTACCATTATATAGGACAAAAAGCGCTTCCATAAGAAAACCTGGGACGAATGCCTGTGAATCTTTGAAATTACTGGGATTCAGAAGCCAAGACAGTGGTTGGTTTGGGCTGGATGATGTGGTCGTGAAAAACAAGATGTGGCTTGATATCATTTGAGTTGTGTGAACATTTAGAGAGGTAATACAATAGTAAACAATAAAAGTTGACAATATTATGTCTTGATGATTTATAATTGATGTTTATAGAAATGGAATTATAGGATTAAATTTTTATTCCTCAAATAAGAGTATCAATAGTTCTTCAGGGTGTGCTTAAAATGTAAACCGGAATTGATATGAATATGCTATCTATAATTTCATTCATGAGAGTTTAATAAGTGCATTCGGAAACCACTCATAACTTAGATGTATTGTTTAAGTTTTCTTTTAACTCCCAAATAGTTTTAAAATAGCACCTTTATTTATGAAATTCCATAAAGACAGTAATTTACTGTTCATACTATGCTCATCTCATAACTATGTATATGTAACTGAATTCATTATTTCTGTGTCCTCATTTTACTTTCTCATTTCCATGTTTTCTAGACAGTTCGTAATGAAAAGAGTTTTAGACAGTTTTAAGGCTCATCAGGAGCAGATATTCATAAAGAGAAGACAATCCTATGGCTAAAAATAGCTTTTATTTTAAAATGGAAGATCTTACATCTACAATTGTCTTGGGTCAGAAACAGAGTCTAAGATGAGAATCTATTGATTTATTGAGGGAGAACACTTAGGTGAATCCTATAAGGGAATGAAAGAAACAAGTAGGGCAAGGGAATAAGATCGGAAAACCTCTGGTTTCAGGAGAAGTTTTATCTCAGCCTGATACCTGAGGGAAGCTCTGGAGCATGAAGACCAAGAAGGCTGGCTTTACACCCCTGCATCAGTCAGTCCCTGTCCATGGGTGCAGGGATGCTCTGGTTGAGGGGGCTCCTGTAGGGCAATTCTTTGGAGAAGAGTTGGGGGAAATGTGGGGGCGGGTAGCGATCCAGCCCAGAGAAAGATGTGTGTATTAGTCTGCCAGGCTGCCGTAATAAAGTCCCACAAACTAGGTGGCTTTAACAACAGAAATGTATTGTCTCATAATTCTGGAGGCTAGAAGTCCAAGATCAAGGTGTTTGCAAGTTTCATTCCTTCTGAAGACTGTGAAGGAAGGATCCGTTCCAGGCCTCCTTCTTTGGCTTATAGATGGCCATTTTCATGTTCACATGGCATTCCGTGTGTGTGCATATTTCTATGTCCAGATTTCCCCTTTTTATGACACCAGTTATGTTGGACCTAATGACCACATTAACGTGATTACCTCTGTCAAGACCCTATCTCCAAATAAGGTCACATTCTAAGGTACTGGCGGTTAGGTCTGCAACACAGGAATTTGAGTAGAGGGGACAAAATTCAACTCATAACAAGGTCCATTCACAACAATCTTTACCACACAGTGAGAGATAAAAATTTTAACTCCCACTTAATTATGACATGTATTCTTTGTCCCACTGGTAGTAAATGGATGATCTTGATTATCTTTCTCTTTGCATAGTTTGAAGTAATACTCTTTGGTAATGCTAGTTAAAATATAATTTAAAAGATGTTGGCGGAGATGTGGATAAAGGGGAACCCTCCTACACTGTTGGTGGGAATGCAAGCTGGTGCAGCCACTCTGGAAAACAGTATGGAGGTTCCTCAAAAAGTTGAAAATAGAGCTACCATATGACCCAGCAATTGCACTACTGGGTATTTACCCCAAAGATACAAAAGTAGGGATCCGAAAGGGTACGTGCAACCCAATGTTTATAGCAGCAATGTCCACAATAGGCAAACTATGGAAAGAGCCAAGATGTCCATCGACAGATGAATGGATAAAGATGTGGTATGTACATACAATGGAATACTATGCAGCCATCAAAAGGGATGAAATCTTGCCATTTGCAATGACGTAGATGGAACTGGAGAGTGTTATGCTGAGCGAAACAAGTCAATCAGAGAAAGACATGTATCATATGACCTCACTGATATGAGGAATTCTTAATCTCAGTAAACAAACTGAGGGTTGCTGGAATGGTGGGGGGTGGGAAGGATGGGGTGGCTGGGTGATAGACATTGGGGAGGGTAGGTGCTATGGTGAGCGCTGTAATTGTGCAAGACTGTTGAATCACAGATCTGTACCTCTGAAACAAATAATAAATTATGTGTTAAAAAAAAAAAGAAGAAGAAGAAGATAGCAGGAGGGGAAGAATGAAGGGGGGAAAATCGGAGGGGGAGACGAACCATGAGAGACTATGGACTCTGAGAAACAAACTGAGGGTTCTAGAGGGGAGGGGGGTGGGGGGATGGGTTAGCCTGGTGATGGGTATTAAAGAGGGCACGTTCTGCATGGAGCACTGGGTGTTATATGCAAATAATGAATCATGGAACACTACATCAAAAACTAATGATGTAATGTATGGGGATTAACATAACAATAAAAAATTTTTTAAAAAATTAGAATAAAATTTCAAATGTAAAAAAACCCCATAATATTAAAAAATATATATAAAAAATATGCTGCCATATTTAGAGCTGATCTGAGAGCCTGGATGATTGCTTCGTCCATGAACATTTGTTTAGAACTTGGTTTGGTTTGAACGGTTTCCTGACTGCCAAGAGTTTCATTAACGTCACTCATGAATCTAACTATTTGGTTATCAGCATGCTTGATTTTGAAGAATGCTTGGATGAGAATGGCTCTCTCCTTGGGTGTTGCTTGTTATCAGTGCTATCTTTGAGATGACAGGTGGCCCTTAATGTCATGCCTCTCTGCTCCCATGCAGGTTTATTGTGCTTCTTCTTTCTTCCAATGTGGAAAACAGCCATTTGGTTTCTTTCATGAAAGCTCTGGAGGAAGCCATGCTCAGCGGCATTGCCTGTGCTGTTCTTTGCCACCAGAAAGACAATCCCCGGAGAGTCATTATTCTCATGGGCCGTCCAAAGATTTAAACCAGGTGCTTCGGAACCTGCGCTCAGAAACGTTCGGTGGTCCCCAGGAGCCATCGCGCTCCTTCCAAGTAAAAGAAGAGACCAACTTCTTTTAAGATTTACTGGAAATAACTTTGCTTCAAGTAAGTATAAAGACACTTGTTGTACGCTCTATGGGCTAACGGCCGCAAACTTCAGAAAGAGTTCGTGAAACTTGTATGACTAAGGACGCTTCCAGAAAACTGAGAGGAGGCTTTTAAAAAGTGGGAAGAGGAAAACACTTATTTGTTTCTTCCTTTCCAGTCTCTTTCTTTTCTTATGAGGGTGCATGATCCCTTACAGGCAGACTCTAAGTGACATTCTTCTAGAAATCATCTTCTCCGTGATTACTCTCTGAGTCCAAGCTAGAATCATCGCTCTCACATACCAGTGCAGTTGCCTCCTAAATACTCCTCTGCTTCTACTATTAGCCACGTGAAATCTAATTCCACACAGGAACAATAGTGATCTTTTAAAAATATAAATCATACTTTATTACCCCATCATTAAAACCTTACAATTATCTCTTATTTTACTTAAAATAATAACTAAACTCGTTCTGATGTCTTATGAAGAATCTAACCTGGGATCAGTGGACTCCCAAGAGATGTGTGGATAAAACTATATTCCAATATAATTATCTTACTTATACTTTCACTTATTTTATTTTATATATATATCTATTTTTTATTTTATTTATTTTTTTAAAGATTTTATTTATTTATTTGACAGAGAGAGACACAGTGAGAGAGGGAACACAAGCAGGGGGAGTAGAAGAGGGAGAAGCAGGTTTCCTGCAGAGCAGGGAGCCCGATGCGGGGCTCGATCCC